CTTGGCTTCTTCCAAAGTTGGATGGTCTTTGGACAGGAACTCAAAGACCCCATCTACCAAGTCATCTGGCTTCGCGCTGCGATAGCAGCTGAGGGAAAATTCGATCCATGCCTTCACCTCATCCAAACTTGGAAAGTCATCTTTCACAAGAAGCTTGGCCGCATGTTGTGCCAAGTCAATCGTATTTGCTTCGGCACTGATGCTTGACAAGTAGTCAACCCAACACTTCACTTCGTCCAGGGTTGCACGGGCTTGGTGCAAGACTTCAACAGCTTTCTCTGCAGCAAATGCTGGCTTCATTCCCTTGTCTAAGCCGAGAAAGTATTCTGACCAGGTTTTGACTTCCTCCAACGTCGGATGGTCCTGGGACAGAAACTTAAAAATTTCTTCCGCTGCGTCAGCTGGTTTCAGGCTGCCATCCAAGCTCAGAAAGTAGTCTGTCCAGGCCTTGAACTCCTTTAGTTCGGGGTGCTTTGTTGCCAGGATCGCCAGCGACTTCTTGACAGCTTCGCGTTGCTTCATTCCGCCACCATTCAAGCCTCACTGAGACAAAGAAAATGGGAAATAGGAGATCTCACCAAAAACACTTCAGGGTGTGGACCATCCAGGACACTAGTAACTCAGCGGTAGGTCTGTTTCAAGCTGAGAAACTGTATAAATGATCTGACCACATCTTCAGCTCCTCCAAGCTCGGGTGTTCCGTTTTGAGAATCTGAAGTGCCATCTTCCTAGCTTCTGATTGCTTCAGGGCGCCCCCGTCCAAGCTGTGCAAGTAGTCTGACCACATTTTTGCCTTGGAGTGTGCAACAGGACCAGAAAACACCTGAACAAAGTCCGATTACCTGTTGGAAAGCACATCAATGAAAGGGTCCTCCCTACATCGCTTTTGTCAGAACGGTATTCAAAACATCCGTCGCCAAGCGACTGTCCGTGGAGAAGGAAGGCTCAGCTGCTCGTTGGTGAGGTCGTGCTGGGCGGAGAGCCTTGCAGCTGTGGAAAGGCTCCAGGTGGTCACGATCACAAGGGTCAAGAGCGCCATGGAAACCGATCCAGAGGAGCGAGTTAGCAAACAAATCGGGAAACACTGAGTCAAGCGATTGAGTTGAGCCAATGTCTGAGATGTCTGAGATAGCGAGAAAATGCACCGGATGTTCAGCCACATGGGTTGGAAAATGGAGAAAGCATCCATATGAACCTGCTGGCGGCAACAAGTTCAAGTTAGCAATGGCTAGCTAGCAATAGTTTCTGCATTAAAAGCAGTATATAGCAGTATCAAACATTTCCAAAAGTTAAAACAAAAGATTCTAGAAGGGATTTGTGCAGACCAGGCTTGCAAACAAGTTGTGCCATGTTCCGTTTCCGAGGGCCCGGCTCCAAGGACTGCGCAGATGCCGCCGGCTCGTGGTACACGGTCAGACCAGGCAGGACCCGCGGCAGGGCGGCGATGTGCACCAAAGCCGAGCGTTCGCTCGCTCGCTCGCTGGGTCCCTCTTCATCCGAAGGGCTCGTCCGATCTCTCCAGCCGACGCAATAGTCGGCATGGGGAACATTGGCATGCCATTGTCAGCGTGTTTTTTCTGTTCAACTCCTTTGTCGCAGTGATCTTCAAGTCTCACGCACCTTTTTGTTAAGGCTTTTCACGCAGCACACCAAGTTTCCAATAACAAAAATGCATCATCTCCGTCTCCATCGTTGGGCCAATCGAAGTTTGATGCTGACCCCTGGAGTTTGTCCGGCAATGTCTACTCCTTCACTGATCAAGGCACAAGTTCACAGTTCACCCTATTATTTGGTCAATCTTTTTCAGTTCAGACTTACAGTTTCTATAGTATCTGGCTCCACCATGTTCCACGTCCGACCTCCGATCGGCGACGTCGGACCCGCAGTCGAGCCACTGGTCGGAGCAATCGCTCCAGCTGCTCCAAACCTCGGAGACGTCAACGACAGGACGCATGGGATCACGGTGACCGTGTGGGCACTGGTGTGGGGGCATATAAAAGCAGATATAGCAATGTAGATAGCGGGGTGTAGCAGAAGCAGGCCGAAGAAAACGGAAGGCAGAGGTTAGCAGTCAACAGAGGTTGGCTGTCGGGTTTTCTTGTGTCTGGCCTGAGAATGCCCACAAACTGCAATCGCGAAGACATAAACGTTAAAAGCCTGATTTTGCATCACGAGTTCTGATGTCTCATCCCTACCCCTAGTGAGGGGTCCCCACCCAGGTCCCCCTGATTTTTGTAGAGATAGGGGGTGGGGATGATGTCTCAAGAAAACCTGTTCATTGTCTACCGCTCGTCTGGAGCAAATGCAGGTGTTTCCTCGACCGGACACATGGTGCAATGGGCCTCTTATCCGGTGCCTCCTGAAGAGCCAATATCCAAGAAGTCTCGGCCAGTCTATCCCACCCCACCCGTCATGATATTGTTGTCCTAGCACTCGGACCCCCATCATGTTGATTCATGTTGGAGATTTAGCTTGTCTAAATGGGCATGCTTGGATGAAAAACAAACAAGTTTGGTTGCAACTTGAGCCGAGGACATGTAGAAAGAGGATTAAATTAAATGAGTCCCAATTACCATGGCCTCGCTCCGAAACATCGATCAAACCCTTCGGAAAGCCCCAGCCTGGCCATCCCGCATGGGCCAAGCTGCACTGAAGCTACAGTCCCTCACCAAACAGGGCCGACCTGCACATTGATGGAACTCCTGCAGTGCAATGTGCCCCGGCAGGCAACAATACAATTTAGAAGGGTCAATTTAGAGTACATTTTGAAGGGCCATTGTAGAAAACAATGCAAATTTCCCGTCAACATGGCAACCAGTTGTGAATGAATAAGAGGAAAAAGATGGAAAGAGGCTCACCCACAGCCAGTCTACATATATATATATACAGTTTATGACGGACGGCAATTGTTGGGTAATGGGGGACGGAGGGAGGTGGAAGAAGGAAGAGGGAGCGGGTGGGGACACAGCAGGTTCGTCATGGGAGATGATGGGAGTTGTTCGTTGTTCTTCGTCCTGGTAGTAGGTTGCACAAACAAAGGTCATCCACGAATTCTGCAGGCTGATGACCCTAAATAATAAGGAATTGTGTTTCATGCGCTAATGAAACAGGTGCAACTACAAAATTCCAAAGAAGGGTGCAGGCATGCTTCGGTGAGCTGCAGCAACATGTGTGGTTCTGCCGTATGTGATTCAAACAACCCGGCTTGCGCGAGAAAGATGTCTCTTACCCAAATGCCCAATCTACTCCTATGACACTATGTCACCAAAAGTGGAACTTGGAGCCCTGGACCTCAAATGTTTTATTTCGGTGGTTGTCCATCAGCATACGACTATACAGGACATATATTTATTGAACGTTATGTGCGCACGCAAATATCACCACACCACCACATTTGCAGAACCAAATCCTGGCATCTTCCAATCACGGCCCTCACAAAAATGCACTTCCCATGTGTGTCCCGGGCACATCTGCCCCCAAACAAACACTCACACACACACACACCTGATAAAAGCCTTTGCACAGCTCACCACCATGTGCAGCCTGCAAGCAGGGAAGCGCCTGGATTCAACTGCATGGACTTGTTAGAATTACAGGCTGGCCAGGGGAAACTGTGGTCTTATGTGGCGATTTGGCGAGTGGTCTTGCATGCAGGCATGCTGGGATATTGACAAGAAGTTCTATAAGTCTGAAGTTCTTTCCACTTCCATTAGGCAAAATTCGAGACCCTTTGACATCGTGGCCCCGATTTCATGCAATCCACAAGCTGCAGAATGATTCGAACACACAATTCCACCCCTGCCAAAATGTCACAAAAGCTAGTCGCCTGTTCGCTCATCTAGGTTCTGGCAATGCCGTTGGTCCGCTTCCAAGTGCCAGCAAACATCACACTCCCCACTTCCCACAGCACATGTGACAACGTGTGGCTCTCTTCATCCCAGCCATGCCCTGCAATGAAGCGATGTCAAGAGAAGAAAGGAGTTGGCACAACGGAAGGTTTCATGATGCCATAAGTTGGTTTCTCTGTTGATTTTGTTGCCTAAGTAGGTGGTTTGGCCGTGCCCTGTGACGACACGTGACACCAGTTTCCTGTGCGTGATTAACATGTCATACCAAACCGAGAATGCCGTGGATGGCCTCCTGCACGATGATGCGAGTCCGTCTGGCCTGCCATCTCGGAGGTCAAAGTGGCACAGCGGTCATGCAGTAGTCTTTCCTTTTCTGTGGGGTGCAACCACAGGTTCTAAGACACTCTGCCAGCAGAAGTTGGCTAAGGATTTAAAATGATTTAAGCTTGCAATGGCCTCAGCGAACCGCATCAAGCACGATATCATTACTTTTCAGTTCTACCACCAGGGTCTTCATCCACTTCTCATCTTCCAAAGGTCGAACCACGGTACAGCGGCTATGCGGCTTCTGGCGCTTCTCAAAACAAGGCGCGGCGACTCGCTCGTCCCTCCACCAAAACCTCGCACCGCTGGGCTGTGCCGACCTGCCCTTGGCCGCAGCTGGCCGAGCAATCGGCCCATGAGGACCACTCGCTCCAGGTGCAATCGATCTGCAGGCTGTGAAGTGTGGCATGTGCAACCTGAAAAAGGAGGAAATCAACCTGAAACCTGAACCAGTTGGTCATCAACTGGAGGGACATCTCAGCCATAGACCGTCTATAGACAATGTGTCACAGGTTTTGATGAGTGAAGTCGGGTATACAATTTGGTTGATGAATTCAGGAGAATCCACTGGAGAATCCCTGTTCCAAACCTTGTACTGTATTATAGTTAAGAACGGGCATCCTTGCATGGCAAATGCTTGGTCCATCAACAGTGTGAGATGTGTGAGTGAGAATGCAATGGTTCAAGTAAGTATACTTACCCAATCCACAATTAAATAGAACATGAGCAAGTCTGTGGTCCCCTGGTATCCTCTGGTAATATGCCTGGTCTGGTCTCTATCTTTACGGATGTTGCCAACCTTCCAGTAACCTCCACACTATCCATACCCTTCGGAACAGTGAACACAAATGAACAAAAACCAGACGTGCCCCACTTGGCCCACCCTACCCGGCCTTGCCCCATGCATCTTCAATGCAATCTTGAGGGTTGCAAAGCCCTGTCTCGGCGAGGTCTGCCTAGCCGCGGGTGTCAAAACATCTAATTATGACGCATCTGCGTGTTGTTGTCAGGCCAAAAGCAGAAGATAGAGTACAAGTTGATGATCACGTCAGTCCACACCAAAAGGGGTTTCTTAGTGTTTCTTTAAGGACCTCAGGTGACGGTAGAACTATTGCCGATGGTCCACTGACCAACATGACAGATTCTCCACTCCCGAGAGCCTCCCAGCTAGTGCCAGACCTGTTCCAGCCTGGGTTGGTCAGATGGCACCTCCCAATCCCTCCATTCCGCACGTTTGATCAAAGCAAGCAAGCACGCAAAGGCGCGCCGCCAAGGCCTCTGGACATGCAGCGCCTCCCTCAAGCGCAGGGCCTCAAGCACGCAGGGCCCTCTCTGCAGCTTTGGCAGGGCCGATGCCAAGGCCTTCTCCCGATGCACGAACGCATGCCATGGTTCCAAGCAGCTAGCCACTAGCCATTGCTGGCCATTGCTGGCCTAGAGGCAGAATTACCTTCTTGGCGACCCCACGTGCCACCACGCGAGAGCGTTCATGCTGCCCGCCACCGCACTGGCGACTGCAAGCTGACCAGCTGCTCCTCAGCTTTAAGGCCACAAAGTTGAGGAAAAAAACCACTCGTTAAGATTGAAAAAGCCTATCTGCTTTGTAAGGATTACAACTAATCAAGAGGGCAAGAGTCTACATCAGGCTGATGTTCAATTTCCATCCAACCCAAATGATGCTATCACGGAACAGCCCGGCTGATATCATGAGACACACCTCCCGGTGCCACAGGGCTCTTCCTAGCAAAGCCTGCAAAAATGGCCTCTCGACCAGGGTGCGCCCAACGTTGAGCGTCCCCACCACTCCGTGTAGACGCCTCAGGGAGGAGCCGTGGGAGGAACTGTGAAATCGCTTTTTCGCGTCTGCTCCGTTGACGTCCGCTTGGTTCTCCACGCCCGAGACGGTACCTCCACCAAGTAGCAATCTTGAGCAGCTCCACAAGGCTCCAAATGACAAGACTGGACCTCTTCCAAGCCTCGAGTGGCGCAGGCGGAGACGAAGCGCTGTTTGACCGGGATGTGTGAATGATGCTAGTTGAGGGCCGAATGCACGTTATTGAATCAAACACCCACTTGTTTATGGTGCCCGATCATGCTGAAAGTCTTGGGTTTTTGAACTTGCAGGTGGAAGGCATGCTTGTTTTGTGTGCGATGCTACTCGTATTATTCTTGCCTGCGCTGATCTTGCCTATTGTATAAATATATATTATAGTCGCATTGGTTTTTGTTGCGCCTGCCTATATAAAGTGCAGGCTCGGAGTTTCAGTGACCCTACCAGTAGCAGTCACTCCTTTCCGCTGTGCGGTCACTTCGTGGTGATCCGAAACTGACTGAAATCCATCTTCAGCTTTGGATTCCACAGCTGTAGCACTGTGGGGTCGCACACCTAGAGCTTTTAGACTGAGGCCGACTGAGGCCATCTAGACACCCGGCTAATTATAGGTCTTCTATGGTCTTCTGAATCTCAGGTTGCTGAACCCACCAGTTCTGAATCTGCCCCGACCTCCATCACAGCGCTTGCCCGCTGCCTGGTGATGCTGGGATCTTGGGGCGGTGTCGGCTGACCAACGACTAAGACGACTACGGAGACGCGTTGAATTTGCTGGGATGATTGACTATTGCCATGTTAGTGCTACCTACTTCACGTGCACATGCATATATATATGGTACATACGGCAGTGTAAAATGTCGTTATTGGGACTGGCTGACTGGAACCCAAAGGGGCACCTTTACCGGCGCGCACCGGTTGGTGCGAACTGCTTCGGCCGGCTCGATGAGTGCGATTGGACCAATGGTTCTTTCGAAGAGTGTCTTATTTGAAAAGGAGATTTTGGATGGCTTTGGTGATAACATGTGATAAACCAAATTAAATCTATAAATACTAAATGATGATTGGATATCCAGGAGATCCACGGTTACTTGCACTGCAAAGGGGAGCGGAACATCTCAAGGGGAGCGGAAATTGGACAAGCCTGAGGTTGGCAGAAAACAAACAAAGCTCAGAGATGATCGGAGAGATTCCAAAAACCATGCACTAAAAAAACATATACATATATATATATATATTAAATATATATATGTACATACAATATAAAATATATACAAATAGAAGATCCACCACAAAAAAATACCACAGGAAGATATATGTTTTCGAGCAGAAAGTCAAAAATGTAAAGTAGCTAAGAAGACTCAAAAATTGATCATTTTCAACAAAGTAATTACCGTGATCTTCTATTTGATTTGTTTGCCAGGAAGGTACCCATGGAAGGTATATAGGTTCAATGTCTTCTATAATTGAGGTCACTACTAGTATATATATTAATCTAAAAACATAAACGCACACACATTTGATACATGTATATAGCCATGTATAAATGTATAAATAGTACATACTTAGTCTACGGAACAATGCTTCCCGTACTAAGTGTCTCTCAATCTCTGAGTTTCGACCTCGAAGTGAAACACACACGACCTCAAGAGCGACGACTCGCGCCTGGGCGTGGGTGATGACCGTGCGGGTGTGAAAGCTCTGGCCGCTACCACCTGCGAAGGGCGGCTCGGGAAGAAGGAGCGTGGAACGAGTCTCAGTGCTACTGGACCCGCCAGAAATGATTCCCAGGGAGGCGTGTTTAGCAGGTTGATTGAGACCATCGTCAGCGGCGTTGATACTTCTAGACCATCATAAGGTATATATAGAAGAAAACTGCGGGTTTGACAGTTACACCTTATTCACTGCAGGAGCCACTCGCGGCTCCTGCAAGATTCCTATTCTGCCCCCTCTCTAGCGCCCACTCGGCAGCTTTTTTGAGCCATCCAATGCTACAACCTTGAAGCTGCACTTGAGAGACTCTCCATCAAAGGACTTGATAACCAGTCCAACCCCTTAAATGCTTTATACACCTTCAGTAGTCAACATGTTGGAACCTAAAGCGATGCCCAAAGATCCCGGGCTTCCGGGCAAGTCACACTGCAGGCACTCCAAGAAGTCCAACCGCCAAACGTGCAATTGATGTCCCTGGCGCGAGGAGCGAAAGGGCGTGAACCGGTGGGGGGGATCGCTGAAGTAGTAGGAAGGAACATGCAGGGCTGCAGTAGGACTGAAAAGGGGCTACCTTGGACATCTAGTCTCAAAGCAAACGCCCTTCCACCGCCCCAAAAACCCTTTGACCGACGACGCATGCAGCCAGAGCAAGAGACTGGACCTTAAGGCCACCTAAACATGCCAGCAGCACAAGGATGTACAACTCAACGAAGGATAGCAACTGGCGTGAGTCCGCTAAAGGTGTCCACGCAATAGTACAATCCAAGAGCCAAATATAGCCAAATGAAAAAAAAGGCAGCTTCTTCTCATAGAAGAGTCCAAGATGAAGCAAGGTCAGTGGTCAGTTGTGTGAGAACTGCCTCGTCGCTCAGGAAAAAACACATGTCGAACCATCACTTGATACAATTTGATACCCTCATTCACAGAGTTCGCAAACCTTTTGCGAGGCTCCGAGGCCTTCGGCTGTCTTCCAACGCACCGACCTCGTCTGCAACATGAACACCGTTTCGACCCATTTCAGGCTCAGATCCAGAAAAGCATGTCTTGAAGAGGTTCCGAGGCAAAGTGGTAAGGGTTGGATCATTATGGGTGGGATGCTTGGCATATCATGCGCACATACTGTATCTTTGATAGTAATAATGGCCGTGTGCATCTCGACCCCAGGAACTCAACCTTTCAATGGTTAATCCACCGACAAATATCCAATTGGCCAAGTCACACAAGGCACTCCGCCCCTGAACGCCTGGCTTCCGCTGGTCGCAAGGTTTTCGCATGTTCTGACATATCATGCGACACAGTGCAAAGAGCTACTGAATTGGTGCTCCAATTTGACCTTTAATCTTGACATCGGGGAGGTTAGGTTCCAAGGACTGCAATAATGGTTCATGAAGTCTGTCGCCAGCTGGGGCCCCTTCAAGTCAAAAAGGCTTCCTTGACTGAATCGTGAGCCACAAGTGATGGGGATCTGATCTCGGTGCCCTGCAATCAAGGTCATGTATGCTTCTGTGAATGGTTGCCCGGGATTTGTTTCAATGTGGCGATCTTGGGCTTACACACAGTTTTTTAGGGGGAGGAATCTTCCAGGGCCAGCATGAGTATTACGCATACATGTCATTACAAATATAGTATACAATGTAATCTACATAATAGATTGTTGTATCTAGATCAAATGTATTACACAAATATTACACAAATATATGCATATGTAAATGCATATATATATAGATCACACCAAACACCGGCCAAGACCTGAAATGCACCCCACCTTGATGGCCACACTCCTCTGTCGACTCTGAAGTCCAGAACAGGAGCAATCGCCCTCAGCTCTGTGAGCCGGTCTGTCAGCAGCGAATAGATCCCCGTTGATCTCCAGCATGATTGGTGTCTTTTAAATACATATTTTCTTCTGATTCCGGTCCTCTCTTTTTATCTATGTAGTCTTTTTTCAACTACAGTATATATAGTTGCGACATGTTGCGACTGTCGTATGGTTATCGGGCGACCGGCTTCCTTTTTTGTCTGTTTCCGGACGTGGAGAGGTCCACTTCGAAACAGCGACATGACGTGCCGGGCAATTCAAACAGGACGTCTGACGTGACAGTACTGCGGGCCTGTCAATCTTTGGTTGCGAAGCTGATGTTTCAATTGTCAATGTCAAAGGATGTTTTAATTGTGTGGCATTGATCAAAGGCAATTGCAGGACCAAATGTCTGGTTCTTACTGACCCACCAAGTGCATATGTTGGATGCTGCATATACACAGGTCCGTTCTGGCATCATGATGGGTTCTCAACCTTGGTGCTAGCAAATTGGATCCAACAAAACTATACCTATACAAACATGCCTGCCCAGTGTGCCTTCTTGGACTGCTTCTCACATTTTCTCGCTGCTGTGAATCTATTGATGTATTCTGGGACCATCTGGGACCACCTGTCAAAAATCCTGTGATCATGTCCAAAAAATGAAGTATTCTTGCCAGTCACCCGCACCGGGCTCTGCTTCTCAGTGTTCTTTCCCAAGCTCGCATGCTGCTTTTTAAACCACCCAGGCCACCTCGGCCTGGCCCTAAAAAAGCTGAGGCCCCACACCCAGTGATTCCACTGCTCCCTGACAACGAGAACAAGCGTGATCTAGCCCCAGCCAGATCCAAACGGTTCCAAACATTGTCAAGCTCAGAGTGCTTAGCTGCTGAGAAGAAAACAACAAAAGAGCTTGCAAACGATCTGGCTACTCTGCCACTGCATGCCCCAAGCCAAAACTGCCGGTGGCGCCACTGGCAATTGACAGGTGCCGAGGCCATGCTGCAGGGTGTCAAGCCACAAGCCCTGCGCTTGTGGAAGCATGCGAACGAGAGACCGGACTGGCCGTGCTTGAAGGTACATGCTGATGGTTATAGTATATAAATGCACATGTGTACAATATGAAACATATATGAATTTATAACGGCATAGCTCCATGGGATGCCCAATTGGCCATTTTAAAAGTATTAGCAGATATTAGCAGTATTATCTTAGAACCAAGGTGCTCTTTTGTGTGGGCGTTTGACCACAGAAGCGGAACAATCATAACGAACCTCTGAAGAATATATACCCGGGGCTTACTGCTGGCCTACCTGGAAAACCACAACAAACATGTCCAAACACTTAGCCAAAGCCTTCCAGCTTGGGGCATGCCACGCTTCCACACTGTGCCGGCGCTATGGATCTGCGGTCCTGATCTCTTTCTGTCGTCCTAAGCACTGGCTGGGCCGTGAGGACCTCAGCTGGCACAACGCGAGAAACTGTGACAAAGTTCGTCAGAAATGAACACCATGAATCTTGATGCACTGTGAAACACTTGATTGTTAGCCGTGGCAACATGTCTCTTCCACCACCTTCAATGGGGCAAGCTCCAACAAGCCATCTTAGCTCCACTTCGTCCACTCACATAAGTCTTGAGACGCTTCTCACAGCCTTCACCACCGTGGCTCCAGGCAAACGTCTGGCAATCTCATGATCCTGGACCAAAGCCAGCCGTAGCTCCAGGTTGCACTAAGAATGAGAATGAGAAGCCGTAAGCAACTCGAGACTCGACGGTCAGGATCCAAAGCGATGCAACCCAGCTTGGTGGGTTTTGGAGGGACTTGGGCTGGGAGTTCGCAGCTAGCATGAGCTACCGGCTTTGCGGCCAAAAATGTTCGCAAGTGGAACATGGGAGTGAGTTTGGTGATCAGTCCGGGATCCTCCACCTGAGCCGTAAAGAGATCGCCACTGATTCCGTGTATTCTTCCACCGCGGGCCGCCCGCCCCAAAACAACTAACTGATCAACTTGCCACTATATATATAATACTGTATATAAATACGCGGGGTGGCTCTCAGACTCCTTCACGTCGGGAGCATGCCAAGACTTCCGTCGCATCCTCGTCTGCTGCCCGCTGTCGCAGCTCCTGCGCGCTGCTCTAGAGGCAGCAGTGGTGCCAGTGGGAGCAGCAACCATTCATCCAATGCCGCGTTGCGGGATACCCTAAAGGGTGACCGCACAAAGGCCCCCAGAACCAAACCAATTCTCCCACCTGATCATGTGAACCGGATGTTGGGCATTGGAAGGAGACAGGCTCAAGCATTCCCAGCAAATTCTTGCCTCTAACCCCCTAACCTTCTGATCTGACATGTGCTCCCGGGAAGCTGCAAGTAAAGCTGGTGGTGGCACTTCCCTTCTTCCTGAACGCAGCACATGCGTCTCGTTGTGTTCCACATGGCTTCCACACTTTCCAACTTCCATACCTCTGCTTATTTTTGCAGCCCCTCTGGCCGCATGTGATAAAAAAAATCGGCCAGTGACCAGTGCGAGTCCAGGCGACACCCTTCGGCACCAGGGCGGCGCCTGCTGCAAGCACCGTAGGAGCTCCAGTCTGACCAGGCGCAAACCTCCCGGTGCGTTCCCAGTCAAACCCAAAGGATCCAAACTCAAGGAAGTCCCACCCTTTCGCTGTGAGGATCATCTGGATACACCCACGAGCTGTAATGTAGACTATGTAACTGTAAAGCATAAAACCTATTAAAACCTCTTGACATGGGATGTTTTTTATCAATCAAGAGTCTACATCACCACTAGCTCTAGTCTGGCGTGGCTCTGTTGGGTGGACACTGGAGGCGTCGCCCGATGCCACACCGGTCTCACCCGGCCTCGCTCATGGTCCAGCAGCTCTTCAAATTGCATGCAGCCACCTCCATGGTGCTTCCCGCCTGCGGAAAAGTACACTCCAGCCACTCAGTGTGCAGGTCTCAGGTCTGGAGAGGAGGGTGATTGACACCCAGTATCTACTCACTCGAATGCTCCTTCGGTTCCTCCATTCAGTGATGGTAACATTGGCCACAACCAATGCAATCCAACGCCCAAATAGGGGCGACGATGCATGGACCCTCCGACTCTAAGACTGGCCTTCACGCCTGCTGGGAAAAGCATGCATCACAAGCTAAAACGAGTCAGGCTTGCTTGAAACAGGTCAAACAATACTTCAAACAATATGTTATGGAAAACAAGGACCCTTTTTGTCCTTCCTATGCGTGAACCTTGCTTCTCTGAAAGGCTAACCGACCTTGGAACATCTCCCATGTGATGCTCCAGATTCTTTAGGTTCCACATGGCTCCACCATTTGAAAACGCAGTCCATCTGCATTCTGAATTTGGATGTTTGGACTGGTATTCTCTGACGAGAGAAGTCTCATCCCATCCTACTTGGTGACCTTTTGGCCATAGACTCGCACATCTGGCGCCTGGCAGGCCATGCCATGTCCACGTGCATCCACCAAGGCTCGCCGCCCTGGCTCAACTAAGGAGCAAATCATGAATCAGCTAGGGGGGTTGTCAGGATGTCAATGAAACATAGTTGAGAAGGTAGTCCAGGTAGTAGGCCAGGTGGACCATACCACCCGACAGAAGAGTGTCAATGAAATGAAACATTTAGATGAACATCTTGGGTCCTGCGCCTCGGTGTCAACGCAGTGCCAGGCTCAAAACCGAACTCCAACACGAACACCAGCCACCAGCCGCTGAAAACGCAAAAAAACTGGGCAAGTTGAAGCTCTCCAAGCGACCAAAGTTGTTATTCACCACGGCTGCCTTCTGTTCTCCCATTTGGCATGCAATGCATCGACGCCGTGGTGGACACTGACCACACTTGTCCAAGGAGAGTGACATCAGTCTATCAACTGGTGGCCTTCCACTTCACCACGCGCTTGTGAACATCAGGTGATCTGATATATACATTACCTTTAGATCTACATTCTACATAAGGGAAAGGTCCAAGCGACACATCAACAACACATGCCAGGCAGCGCGAGTTCGCTGTCCGCCATCACAACTCCTCAGCAACGTGGCAAATCCTCCACAGACTGCGTTGGTAGGAGTTGGCAGTTGGAGAATCGACCAATGTCCATTAAACATGACAACATCTATGACGAACTATAACAATTTGCTAGACATGCGGGTGGTTGGCCACGCTCAAAATCACCGTATTGTCGATAGATGTCGATAGTATGAGCATGCAAGCGTTTCTACAATGTGTGACTAAGTACTCCACCACCACCACCACCACCAGAACCAGGCTCACAAGTATCATCGCCCAACATGCCCAACATGAAACATGACCTGCGGATGCCTGCGGCTGCTTGGTGATGAAGTGCTGCCCAATTTTTGGCGCTTGCTTGGAACAAATTACAATTTACCCATCGTTTCCCCTGCGTGAGCTAGATCCTTTCGCAGCTCAACCGGCACTGGGCATCGTGAACACTGCGCCCAACTCGCGCCCGTCCAGGCTCCCCAACTGTGTGCAAGCCTCCCAGTCCTGCATGGTCCGGCGGTCCAGAGTGAGTCCAAAAGTGTTGGAACGGCGCACATTCGGAGCGAAACCGTTTTGGTGAGTGCCGCATGGCTGGGTTGGTTGCGTCGTGTATTTGTATGTTTAGTGGAGTGTAATGCGCTGGGGGATGCTGGTTGATCAAGGTCTTTACCCCAAAAGGATCAAGGTCTTTACGTAAACATGCACAGGCAATTGGTGGGCAAGGGGCAAGCCGGATTGCATGTCCCAAGCAAGGACTAGAGCAGCCATACAGCTAAGTTTGCAAGAGCTCACGGCCCTGAAAACCTGACAAGTGTTTCATCAGGTGCCCAAGTCTTAGGCTGAAGGTTGTTGCGAACTGAGGTGAGTTGACAGGGCGCACCAGTGTTGGACGCTTCTAAGGCGCACTCCTCCCAAGGCTTCCATAGGCAGTCGTACCTCCTCTCACCCAGGCACAGTTGGGTGTTGCCTCAGCAATGGCTTCCACAAGCGGCACGCTTCCCCATCTGGCGTTCCTCCTGGTGGATTCAAAGATGGCAAAGGGCCGCTCAAAACCACATCAAAATAGCATATTGTCATATTGATGAAAATTATTTGGGGACATCCTCATTGCTTGCCTTAGCATCCATGCCCTTGGTGATGATGTCCTCTGCTGGGCTGCCGGACACGCTTCTGTCTGTGCCAAGGCGCCCAAGCACGGGCGTCCCAAGTTCGCTGGGTAGACCTGGTCGAACGGGGGGGGATCTGGTCCAACGGGGGATCTGGCAAGCCCGGCAAGCGGTGAAGGTGGACGGTTGAGCTTATGCGGTAACTTCGATTTAAAGGACAGGAGCCATGCCTCTCAAACATTTAGACCCCAACAACCCCCTAACATTCCTATGTTTATCATATTTTGTCCCGTTCAATCGGCCATCCTTCAGGTCTGGCCAAATTGAGTGCTGACATGTCCCAACAAATCATGGAAGCTGAAAGTAAACATGCCCAGTTTGTAGTGGAACATGACTTTTCTCTTGTGGGGTTGGCCATGCTTGTTGGAGGGGACCAATTGCTAAGCCGACATGCTGCCACCGGACAAGCATGCGCTCATATGCGCTCGAGAACGAGGACAAGGTTTATTCTCAAAAAGCAGGAGGCCAGCAGAACCTGCCCTACACATGCTGCATAGCAGTGCTCGAAGGTTTTAAGCTGAGAGGGTCAAGAAACCATGAAACCAACCACAGCAGTGTTCTGCCTTCAACTTCCTCGGAGAAAAATACAAACTGGCCCCCTTGCTCGCCCCCTCACTTGTTTCACATGTGCACCTTGATGGCTCGCTCGCCTGAGCTCGTGGCAGCGTCCCAAGTTAACGGTTCAGCGACACTCCCTTTGGAAGAATCATGGGCCTGGCTGTGGAATGGCATGGCCTGACCCTGAAATTACCAAACAGGATCAAACAGGTGTTGAACTCCACTTCCAGGATGATTTCAGGGAGTGTAACTGTGATTCGTGATGGATGACCAACCGGCAGCAAAATGGCAGTCATCCGTCTGCAAAAGCATTGGAAAACCTACAAGTCGCGGAGCCACAGAATTGGACAAGCCACATGGACGAACCATGAGTGCCAATCCCCAACAGCAAACTCCCTTCGGCCCTCTTTCAAAAGCACCACATGATGCAGCATTACAGGTAATCAGGACCCCGCGTCGTCCTGTGTTCCAATCACTCTACTTTGAGTCCTTCATTCTGGAGGTGAATGAGCAAACTTGGGCGAACAGAACCACACAAATTGATGGGCACTTGCTGTCAGCGATGTCTAAGGACTTTGCCACGTGCACGTCTTTCCCCGTGAGAACATTACATTCTACTCGCCCAGTGACGGGTGGTTTGTCCACCGTCGCATTTGTGAGAGCATGGTGACCAAGTCCTGACATGCTCTGCACGACAAAGGCCTATATAGGGAATCACACTCTGATAGCATCTTGCCCACCGAACAAATTGATGGAAACGGGCTCCCCAAACCTCTTACCGGAGAGCAAAGCTTCAACGCGTGGATGCCATCAATGAGTGCGGCCAGAATTGCGTGTCATCTGCGGTGGTTCGATGTGTTTGCAATAAGCCTCACTAAAATATAGTCAACTTGTGCGGTGTGAGACTGGTTTTGCTCAAATGCATCTGAGATGTCAAAATCACAAAGTGATGGCATTCCGAAGGCGTTCTGTGAATAATGCCAGCTGATTGTGGGGCCCTATAACAGGTGCATCGAGTACTACAGGCCTACCACAGCCACTGCTACAGCCCTACGGTCCTTCTTCCACGGTTTCCGCTTGAAATAAGTCCATAAAATCCAAGGGGAAAAAAAGGGCAAGACCCAAAAACGGAGGCTCTATTGGGCCCACGGGCCTCCTTTCGAGGCCTCCTGGCCTCCTTTCCTTTGCCGCTCGCCGCTCCTCCACGGGCCCAGTACACAATCTTTCGGCGCTTCCGCGCGACACGTGGAGCTATCCAGGTTGCAGCCCCTGCGCGGGGGGGAAAGAGTGGGAAGTCCGGCAGGTCTGTGGTGCGGCGATTGGTATATAGATTTGTATCACAATAATTAACTAGCGATAATTAACGATCGTATATACTAATTAGCAATTAACTTCTTGGAGTCTATATATTATATACCTATTTAATTTGTCAACCAATGTAACCCCTCTCGAAAGCCTCCTGACTCACCTCTGACTGTTCAAAGCCTTTTCCGACGATCGGTGTCGTTGAACCAGAACATAATTTAGCTGTGTCCAGCATACTTCCCAGTTGTCCAGCACGTTTCCTAGTGCCGGCACATAAAGGAAAAGGAACACAAGGGTCTATCCAGAACATTTCAGAGCATCATATATTCACTACCGTTCTGGAACATGGAGATCATTAGTTAGGGGGAATTGTCAGGAACACTTCGATTGGAAGGGCGCCCTGTGTATGAACCACATTCCAATACTGCTCAAGGTTTCTCCTCTTTTCGCCTCGGCTTATGTACAAGTTCGGCCGGACGTTCACCTCGCTCCGGGCATCCAGCCGTGCTACGCAGCTACACCGCAACTCACACTCGACATCAACCATCTTCGTCTGGAGGAATGGGGCCCCAGCCTGAGAAAGCGGGGAGGCAAGCGTGGCCTGGTGTCCTCTTCCACTGACTCCAAAAGGGCCAAGAAAACCACCTGCACCTCACTACATCTCACTACCTCGTTGCATGGCATTTAGGCCATGCCAGGGTTCAAACGGTCCCTGAAGCCCTACGGAGCGAGACCTGCAGCACGTCCCTGGGAGAAGTCGCTGAAACGCACCGCCAGCATCGTTCCCGGGAGCGGTTCCTGATCGATGCATCTCATGGACGGGTCCGAGCACTTGGGACGGCTGGTGTGGTGTGTGGCTCAGCTGGTGGTTTGGCTCACCGTGGGATGTTTTCGTTCAACAGTCATTTCATGAGACATGCTTCAAAATAGGCCAAGGGATTAGCTGATTCAGGAGTCTAACTCCAATGACAGTGCTGTTCCAAATCGGCCTCCAAAAGTTGGTCAGCAATTACATGCAAGACTTGCAGCAAACACCTCTCAACAATATTTGTATTATTTTGTCATCAGTCATGTTTGTCTCATTTTGTTTTCCTTGTTCTTCTGGGGTAGTTGGGGTGCTTCATAGCAGCTCCTGGGTGTGCTTGTTGAGGGCCCTGCTAAGAATGGCACAGCCCGACCCCGCCAGGTCTCCCTGCCGCACCGGCACACGACGAGTGATCACTCTTTTAGCTGCGGCGTTCAATCCGGCAACAGCATCCAATCGCATGTGGCTGACTCGCCAAGCCGGGCAGCTGCACATGGGAGTGGGCCCGTCCACCCTGCTCAACCTCAAAAATGGGTTCAGCACCTCCAAAACCTTAATGGCCTTAACTTAACACACACACACATATATATATATATAATGGTAGACTACTTGGCTACTACTTCTTAGATTGTATATAACCCATCTATATTTCATACAATTATGTGGTTTGGGATGGTTTGGGCATCCAGTCGGCCACATTCACATCTCAGCTCCGGCTTAGTATCACCGAGACGCTTGTACCGGCCGCCGGCCGCGTCCGACACATTGCCAAACAAAGGTCCGACACGAGACCTCATGGGGAGACTTCATGAGACTTCCAACCCTTGCGAACAAGGTCTTTTCCGCATGCGATGCTGATTTCCTGCTGGCCATAAGTCAGTCTTTCAATTGAATCACACTTGCAAGTTGATTGACATTATCTTTTCGTTGCTGCCAGCCCCGGCCGTTTGCAGAAGCTCATGTCCACACGAGAAATGTCCATCGGTTGACTCTGGACTCCCATGATTTTCAGGGGACCAGCTGGATAACAGGATGCTGGCATCAACATGATTCAACATGCCACTTGGGAATCTTTGGACCAATGGATTTTATATGTGTTTTTATATGATGGATTGATATATACATAACTATAAATAGTTATATATATATATTAATATTGTGTATTATTGTGTGAATGAACACTGTTGTGTGGTTGAAAGGTTCGAGGATATGCACCCAGCATGCTGATGGTCTTCCCAATCTGGCCGGAAACTTGGCAGAATGTCCGGCCAAAGAGGCAATGGCCCAGTGCCCAGTTGGGGCTTTGAAACCTTTCTAATTTGTTCTGCACCTTGCTCATCTGCAAATCTCCCCTCAGTCGCTGCTCTCTCCAACCAGCTTGTACACCATTTCACAGCAGGTGCCAGGGCCAGCTCCTCTCTGCTCCACTTCACCTCTTCTTCCAGGGCATGTCCTCTGGCACCCACCGTGCCAAGTTCTCCAGTCCTTCTTGCGCCACCTTGCGCCCGGCCACCGCGCACGCGCAGCGCAGCATCTGCGGCACGCTGGCGCCCAGCGCCAAGGCGGCGAGGCTGGCGGCGTTGAAGGTGTCGCCAGCGCCCAGAGAGTCGACAGGCTGGACCCTCTCGGCCGCTTGGAAGAAGTCTTGACCACTGCGAGGATCGAACCTGCAAGCAAAGGGGAGCTTTGCGGTGGAGGTTGGGTTAGGTTGGGTGGGATTGAAGGCTTGAAGATGGATCATGATTTAATTTCAGCGAACGGGCGAACGAGTTCGATGACATGAAATGACTTGGGGATGAGTTCAATAGCAGTCGAAGCTTCGTCCAATGCCACCGTTGGCACACATCCGGTGAACCACAGTGAACTTGCTTACTTGCGGGTGGGTCATCCAGAAAGCGGAGTGATTCTCATGGCAAGAACATGTTTGCATTAAAAGGGTCAGCTTGACCACATGTGCCCAGAAACCACATGTTAGGATCCCAAAACAGCCTGGCCAGGAGGGTCCTGGTTTATACGGAGGTCCTCTTCCAGTTGGGGAACTCCTCCAGTCTCCGACTGGGAGATACAAAGACACGACCGATGTCCAAATCCATCCAACGCATCTAATTATATAGTCGGGGAAATCGCTGTTCTATCTAGCTAATCCAGCTTGAGATGTTCAGAATTCCACCCTAACAAAAATAAACAAAACCGTCCTCTGGCCACCTCGTGCTCCAAGCCACGCGAAGGCGCCCAAGGCACCCCAGGCGCAAATCAGCAAAGCTTGCGTGGGATTTCCCTCTTGAGAGGCCAAAGCTCGCAAACATCGAGGTGCCACATGGCTCCTTGGAAGGGCGAAGCGGGGGATAGGCAGCAAGCAAAGAATCCCCGTGCATTTGCTTGCACGACCCTCCTACCGTATCCAATGTGATCGCCTATTGTTGCCTGTATTGCCGTAGATGCTGGGGACACTCGCGTCCCCGCCCAGAATTTCAGAGGATAATGTGGATAGAAGGACTTCAATGACTCATCCTGGCTCAATATGGCAAGCTCTTATATGCTCCTGTTCCGGGGGTGGTGCGAAAATCAGGAACCAGTCTTCATTGGAATGGCCAACCCCAAAGTGATTACTATGAAATGTATTGAAATGTTACACAGTTCCATGTGGGTGAAGCATCTGCCTCACAAAATTGGACCGCAGTTTCAGGGTCCTGCAAAAATAAACACCTCGTGGCCGAATTTGTTTTCCTTATCTTTACTTTTGGCTTTTTCGGATGGCTGGCTCGTTGGCCCGAACCACCTTCTTTGGGGGCCTGGTAGCGGATTCTTACTCTTTGTGAGCCGCAGAATGCCCATCCTCAGCTGTGAACTTGGCCTCTTAAAGGATCCAAGGACGCCCCCGTCGTGCGCCCGTCGTTTCGCGTGGCGTCCCAGGCTCTGCACTGGACCACCTGCTGCTTCCTCTTGGACCTCCAAGTCTCCTTGAAAAGCAGCAGGGTCAGGACGTGCACGTCTTGAGGGCGTGCTGGCTGGAGGGTCCTTCCTTTTCTCGCGAACACTGCCAAGCATCTCGGAAAAACACACCCGGGTCACGCCCATCACTCACTGAACAGGTGCAACCCTTAGCGGCCCCAGCCATCCTTTACTATAGAATGACATACTAATACTATATAATTAATTACCGTGCGTTAAACTTGTCATGCAACATATAGTTGCAGTTGCTCACACCCTCTCTCTCGCTCTCTCTCTCTCTCTCTCGCAAGCATGACTCCTCACTGAGCCGTTTTAGAGAGAGTCCCAACTTCAATGGTCCCTTCCGGGCTGGACACTACGGGTCCCTCTATATTTATATGTAGAGCGTTGACCAATGAAGCCCCCCCATTTGGATTGTGAGAGTTCTCCACATGGGTTGCTTTATTCATCAACAGTCCGTCTACTATATGATTCTCTCTGCATCAGCACGGGTCTGTCCCAAGTACCGCAAATCCATGCATTGTTTGGATGAGACCTGTGCTGCAGGGTAGGTGCCCTGCCATGAGGAAAACACACAAAAAGATATGACGGTGTGACGTGTTTTTCTCAACTGTCCGCCTGCACGTGCCTTGATGAAGTCACTGGAAAAGAAAACAACATCACAGAGCTGCAACATCGGAAGCACCGCCTTCAACTCCTTGTGTGCGGCCAACTTGTCGCACAAGCATGTGAGAGCACTGTTGCAAAACCCAACACTTGCAAACAAACTATTATTTTTATATAATGAAGCTCTTTTTGTGGGTTCTCAGGCGCCAGCCACATCATCCGCAACAACACACAAGAAAAAAACACGTGTAAAACAAACACTTTGCAAAGCGCTTTTGGTAAATCAAAACCATGCCATTTCTAGCCGAGTCTCCAATCCCGGCTTCTCAATTTCCAACGACACCCACGGCCTGGTCGTCGGTGTGCGGCGTCGTAACATCTCCAACATTTGCGCGACGCCCGGTTGGCGACACTCGAAGTGGCACCAAGCAACGTCCGACGTGGCGGCCAAGACGTGTTCCAAGTGCTCTGGGTCCATCTCCTGGGCACGACCAATGTGTTCGGTGTGGTTTTGTGTGGCCGGGTTCAGGTGGTAGGGCGCTCGAAATACTGGAAAGCCGCTGAAAGTCACCAGAACTCATTGTTTTTGCAAAGCTGCTTGAGCAAATGGTTTTGGCTTGCTTAGGTTCCACAGTGCAATGACTGCATCAGTTGTTGAGTTTCCATAAGCATCTAAGAACCAAATCATCAGTGTGAGAGCTTAAAGGCGGCAGGGGGAGTTTCCTTGAAGAAACGTGAACTATCCTGCGTCCGTACTAGTATCTACTTAAGCTACTATGGCTACCAGCTACCTCTCCCTACTAGATACCTACCTAGCTAATCTCAACTCTACTAGCGGCCTACCCCCCTTAAAAAAACACAGACATATATAAACAGGTGTTTCTAGGAAGGGTTCCATGATGTTCCCTGAACATATCTGATTACACGCCACGGCTCCTTCAGGCCGCAACGGGAGGAGACAATGGTTCGGGCACCAGTGTCCGTGCTGAGAAGGACAAAACTCGTGGGCACTCCTGAGGCATCCTTCACTTCTTGCATCAATGAGGTGTCGATACCAAAGCGCTCCAAGCTCGAAAGTGCAAAATTTGCCTTACATTTACATTTTAACACCTCCACTGCCCCCACACTAATTTGCAAACGAAGCACGACTTGTTAAAATAAACTTGGGACTGGATTGCTCCTTCCGAGGCATCAACTACAAAGGGTGCTCATGGATCCTTGCCAAATTGCGTCTGGGTTGCCCCGGTCCGGGATGACCCCTAAACTACTCACAGAAAGTGGAGTGTCCGCCAGAAGTTGTGCCAAGACCCTGCAGCTGTTGGCGCAATTTCCGCCCGTCTTTTTCGTGTAGCTTTGCGCTCGCGTAGCGGAATCTTCTTCGGGAAAACTTTGCACTTGCATGGCGCAATCAAGGCAAATGTTGCCATACAGCAGGAATCGGCCCACCGATGGCCGTGACACAGGAAAGAGGCCAGAGCACGCCGGCGCGACTGGAACCAAAAGCGGCTGGTCACTTGCTGGGTATGTCATGGCAGGAGGCTCGGCCAGGTAATGACAAGGTTGTGCATTGAAACCGTCAACTTTATGTCCCTCAAAGTAACCAAAAATGTGCACTGTCCGGATGAAACCTACATTTGCATCAAAATAATTTTGTTATAGCACACACCAACCATGGAAAGGGAAGTGTTGAGACTTTGCACTTACAAACGGGCCAGAAAGGGGCCGCCATTCAAAAGGTGAATGTGTTTGATGTTGTATTAATGTTTGGATATGTCTGGTGATGTTTAGTTTGTTATGCCTGTGGGTTTTTTTTGCCTTAATCTTGTTGCATTGGTGGTATACTCCACAACTGAAGCACCCTCTTGCTGAATACAATGGGCCTGATGAACTTGATGCCCTGTGTTGCTGTTCCGTATTGTTGGTTTCAACTGGTTTCTATAAATGGCTCTGCGGCAACTGCCGAAGCTGTTGGGTCGACCGTGCAGGGATCGAAGGTTGTATGATGCCCTTGGGGTGGGTTGATTAGACATGTGCGAGTGAAACCAAAATGCCACTTTCATGAACCACACCGGATGACGCCCAACACACTACAGTGCTCTCAACGCAGTTGGTGCCAACCACAAATTGTCTTTTTGATGGGGTCCATGTAAACCATCTTTTGGGGTCAGCGCCATCTTCTTCTTGAAACCATTATAAGAACATGCGTTTTGAACCTCGTTGCTTAGGTTCATGATGATTCAAAGCACGAAATCCCGCCCGCCTCGTGCATCGATTTGTCGGGATCAAACACCATTTCCTGGCCAAACGCACGCTGTTTCATATGCCGCCCAGGGCTCAATGCTGGACATGTCTCAATCCCCATGGGGCCTGTGCTGGAAAATTTGATACAATAAAATCCCATGTCGTAAGAGGAAACTCACGCAACACATAGGTCTTTTCCTACGCGTTCCACAGGTATACGCGGCATGCGGCGGGAAAGGGGTGCTTAAGCCACCCTTACGCGGCGACTTCGCAATTTTTTGCGAATCCGCTGGGAACATGTTTCTGCAGAAAAACGTTTTCCTTCCTGCGAATGGCACAACGACATCACAAATGGAATTTGGCCACACGGTGTGCTACAAACATCCACAGGCTAGACACAACAATGTGTCATGCAACACCAAACCTCGTGGACACCGCCAAATTTTTTCATCTATGGACCCCTTTGGTGCTGGCATATGAGCAGAGCGGATTTTTATTGCAGTGCATATTTTCGGGCCACTGCAGTTGGCAGAAAACCTTGGGTTTGGGAACCATATGGGTTACCATGGGTTACCATTCACGGACGGGCATGAGGTTTACGCGTTGCCTGCGTGGAGCTTATGCGCGCCTTGTAAAATCTCGTGTCTTAGTGGCTCTGTCTTCGCCCAACACAAGCCAAGACCAAGTACCAGTAAACACAACAAACCTCCTCAACCAAAGCGGTCTCCACATCATTTGGCCACTGCAAAGCAACAAACACAAAAGAATATGCGGCACAAAAAATTACGCAACCTTGCGCACTGCAGTGTTTTCCTTTTTGCATCCAACCCTTTTTTTACCCGAACTGCACGCATTACCAGCACGGGGGTTTATGGCATCGCTCATGAAAACATGTGGGCCCCACAAGAATGAACAAACAAATCCAGAGCAACAACAAACACACAATACCCAAATTGATCCAAATTTACTGCTTTTCACATTTCAAGCAACATAAAACAAAAAAACACCCTGCACGTATCTGCGCATCAAAATGTATCAAACGCCGCGAGCATCTCAATAACGAACCTCCAAAGCCGCTGCAAACCCTGCCAGGGGGGAAACTGCATGAAAAAATTGAGCATATATACGCTAAATCCTGGACGCTGGCTGATCTTGATGTTTTTCAGGAGTTGCATGTCATTCAACTGTTGGATGATTCGGAGTTTTTGCCTATTCCAAACAAAAAAAACTATAGTCAATATTATGACTGTCGTTTGCATTTGTTTTTCGCCAATGGTTGCCTGCCATTGCTCCCTCTTCGCCCTTGCCCTGCGAAAGCAAGGCGGCTCCGCCACATGTGAAGGACGCGCCACCGAAAACAAGAACAATCCGTGTCTGATGTGCCTGCCAAAGTCCTAATATCACCACCACATCAACAAAACATTCAATCATGACATTCGATATCTCATGATAAATGTCCCGCCTCCATGGAAACCATTTTCTTCACATCAGCCAACGCTTCCTTCATACCAGCGGCGCAAAAAGAAACGTGTTTAAAACGTAATATCCTAGTGGAGTCAGATTAATATCAGCGTCACCGAAAAACAGAATAAGAAAACGACCTTCGGATTTCAACATCTTCGCCATCTTTGAACCTCTGCGAGCTATTGCTTAAATGATCTTGAGTGTCAGGTTCGGCAACATGAATCCACTGGATCGCCCATCTGAGCTAATGACGTCGAAGTTGGACTCGTCCATAAAGTTGCCCGCAAAGGCCACAGTGTCGGTCAGGTTCACCACCAAGTGCGGAGCACCACCAGGCACAAACAATGTCTGACGCAACCGTGTTTGAAACACCGACGCCCGCTAATTGTTGGAAGTGTTCGGATCATCGCAGAGCGCTAACGTATGCTGTGGTATGCTAAAGTAAGGGCACGCACTTGCCAGGCATGCCCCGGACCATGCGTTCGCTGTCATACACTCCATTTCCTGATGTATGCAATACCGTGTTTGTCTATGACTGAGTGCAAAGAAACCCCACACGGTGTGCGTATATAAGGCCCACAGGTGTAGCAGCAGAAAGTCTAGAGTTTTAGGCGCACTGGGGTTGCCAAAGGGGCGGTGGAGGTGGTGGTGGTGGTGGTGATGGCGGTGAAAGTGGTGATGCGTGGCTGAATGTGACACTGAGTAAGCGTGTGAGTGAATTCTACTTTTTCAATTCACAAAACATGAGCAGGCTGTCAATTTCATTTTCCTTGCATTTGAATAAATCATCCTAGACCCCTTCCCCTGGGCGTTTGTATCTTTATTGTGTCTTCATTTGGTTTTTTCCATTTGTCCAAACAGTGTGTTAGACCTAGAGTTTGCAGGTCTGAGGTGGCATTCCTGAAGCTTAGCGTAGGTAGACCAACGTTCTTGCAAAAAAACATCCTAGACCCCATTCCTTTGGGTGTGTCGTTTTTTTTTCCCGACTCTTGTTCCACTGAGTCCAAACAGTGTGCCAGACAAAATTTACAAGTCTGTGGCTGGTGGCATTCCTGAAGCTTAGCGTAGGTTGACAAACGGTAACGCCTTGAAAAAACATCCTAGACCTCTTCTTTTGGGTGTGCCGTATTGTTTCCGTAGCTCTTCTCTCCCAAGCGCCCACACAGTGTGCTAGACCTAGGTTCTACAGGTTTGAGGTGGCATGTCACCAAAACAGGACGCACGAGAACTCAGCACCCTCCTTGAGCAGCCACCCCATTTTGGACTTCTCGCACAACCGGTGTCCGCCGGTACACAAATGGTCTTGCACACCCGGGGGCCGACGGTATAGAAATGGTTTTCCACCGGGTTCGCTGCGGAAAAAGGCGTGAAGTCAACTAGTTTTCGAACTTCTAGTTGGCGTGGTGGGACTGGTCAAACCATCAAGTTTGACCTGTTACGGGATGTTCTTTGTTTGAGAAGGTCCGACATGAAATTCCCTAAACCAGAATGGCTTATATAAACATTATATTACGATTATTAAACAATATACTTTAAGGTGGGTCTCAGACTATCATGTATAAAGGGTCTTACATGATCCCTGGACAGGGTCTACAATGATTGCGGACACCATGTCAGACCCTTTGCTCATGATTTCAGGCCCTAGTCGTTGAGGGTATTTCTAGGGCTCAGGTTTTGGTTGAGTGAAACTGTGTGCATCTAATTTTTCAGATTCTTACAAAATTCAAGTTTTGTGCCCAAATGGACTTTATTTTCTGCATTCCGCGTTTCTGCTTTTAACATAATTTTTCACCGCCACTGGTTACGTCTCTGGAGTGCCAGGCTGAACCTAGCTTTGGTTTCACTTGGTTCAAGCCCTCTGTTCAGGACAGCTGCAAAAACATGTGATTTCGATCTTTCGTGTTATGCATCTCTGTTCAATTGTTGTTATGAAGCAAAACCCACTCAAATTTTCCCAACCATAGATTTTCACACTCAACTACACCGGGTCTACTAATCACCAGTAAAAGGTCTACTACGACACTGGGCCCATTCTAGGCCTTCCTGCCTTAGACCCTCCAAGGTCACCCATGCCAGACCCTGTAGTACAACTCGGCCCCCGTCGGTGGCAAAAGTGCTTCATGCGCCACGAATTTTGCACTTCAAGGAAGAAGTAAGGTCCACAAAGCTGCCAATCTGCACTTCAAGGTCCGCAAAGTACTGCACCTGCCACGAAATGTGCACCTCAAACGCAAAAAACGCCTGCCACGATTTCGGAAAACGAACCACATGTGAGCGGTGTCACAATCCATCCGGATTATTTTTTGTTAAGATTACAACAACTTCTGTTTTCGCCGAACCACTTCACTCTTTTGCTAACCCCTTTGCCAAGATCCTGCTATTTACATCCAGGAAACGTATCAGCAAAGGGGAAGCAAAGCATTTGAACATCTGCAACCACTGCTTTCGCTACATCTTCGGTCTTCGCGAGCCTTTCGCCAACCTCTCGCCTGGTTACCAGGAATCTTTGGAAAACATGCTTTGCACCATCCGAAATTCAAAACCTTTCTCCAGGCCTTTCGCAAAATTTTCCCAAATGCAATTTTCTTGTCACAAAGAATAAAACATTTCCATAAAAAGTTATGACGTTGCTCACGTGGAAAGGTCGCCATTCACAGCACTTGTCAGAACTTTAAAGTGTGCCAACGACCGCCACCACAACCAAAATGCCGCACCAGCAATGAAATTTCAAAAGAAAACCGTTCCGATCGATCCCTTGCGCCTGTCACGACAAGTCGGCTTCGGACCAGCAAAACACAAGGTATCCCTCGTGCCTATGAAAAGTGACCACCATGTCCGAAAATAGGCACGGAACTACTACGAGAGCGCAGTCGCGACAAGCACCCACTGCAGCCAACCAGGGCCTGCGAGCCGGCGCAACCGAATTGCACTTCGAGGATATCGAAAGGCATGCATGCATTGCCAATAGAAATGCATTAGCCGGACACGCCCGCACGATATCTCCGACCCCTATAGTGTAACCACACTGTTTGGGGAAAAATTGCAATTGTTCTCACTTGTCCTCACACACGCATAGGGCGAACACCGGCCTCGCCCTCTTCCAAGATCACGTCAATCCAAGATCACGTCAATCCGTCGTGCTTGGTGGAAACCATCCGCCCCATTTTTGCCGGCCTCAGTTGCTAGCAAGCCACCGGTGGCTTGCCGCCCCCCCCAAAAAAAAGAACATGCTCGGCGTACACTGCGGCAACACAATCTTGCGGCCTTGTCCTTACCATTTCTTACCATTTTCGGCAACACGCTCTGCCCGCAAACAGGTCAAAATCAAATCCAACGGCTTGTCGGCTTCTGGCCGGGCCATATCAATTTATATAGATCTACGCAGCGCAGGCGCTGCAAGCTCATCTCAGGTCAGGGCCAAGAAACAAGATCCAAGATTCGCACGCACAGAATCCCCAGGGAACCACCACCCAAAAGCGGTCGTATTTGCTCACGGCACATCACAACGAGTGCTCCGATCGAACCTGCGATGTCTATGTTTTTGCGCCTGCAACACAGCCCACAATGACGCTCAGCTGCCACACATGACCTTATGGAGCCGGAGAAACTAAACCTCCTACAAAGGCTTGGCCAGATCACAGGAAACTACAAGAGCCATTTGCAATTGCGGACCCGCCAATACACAAAAGGCCGGCGCTGCAAGAAACATCAAGAAACAGAACACGCCGCAACAGGAGGACTCACATGATATGGGCCAACACGAAATCGCGGAAGCATTCCCAGGGGATGAACAGCATCGAACTGCAAAGGCAAAAAAATAGGTGGCGCCCCTTTTAAGGGGCCGTTGCGTGGAGGGAAAGGTTTGGATGGGTTTTTGATCGAAGCTGTTCCAAAACCGAAGCGGCACACACACACACACATTATTGACAATGGTAGCTTTGCTTGTTTTCCCCAGTCAAGATCCGCCCGAGTTTTAGATACATTGCGTTTTCGTCAAAGTGTGCCGCCTTTTTAGATCTGATAATTTGCTGTCCTCTTGTCCACCTCGAGTTCGAACGGTCACGCGGCGGGCTATGTACAAGGCCCCCGCTTGACTGGGGGAGCCACCGCGCGTCCCACCTGAGGTCCGCGAGGACGGCTGGAGCGGGTGGCGGGCCTCCTCTTTTTTGCGTGAAATTGATGCTGTGCAATCTGAAGGCCAAATGGCAGCATTCACCAACGCTGCCATATTAATCAACGCGCCAGCGTGTTGAGGAATCTTGTGGGGCCCTTTCGTAAAGCATAAAAAATCAGTGGCTCACAAACGACGAGGCCTGACAAGGCCACGATGATGGCCTCAGTTGACCCACAAATCACAAATATATAGTACAAACCATAGGAAGCCCACCAGGCCGGCCTGCGCAATTGCTCACGACAAAAGCGAGTGTCATTGCCCCCACCCCACCCACACACGACACATAATCATAACATATGATTATCATTGATTATCATAACACATGCAGTGGCGCAGCACGTCAGCCGAGTGTCATTACCCCGACACCCGGCCCCACCCCACCCACTCCAATGCGTCACATAGCACATTGATGCAGTGGCGTAGTGGCGTAGCTCGAAAACTGCTAAAACGAACGAAAATGCACGGCAACTGAACAGGGGTCCCACTAGAACTGAGAACCAACACGGTAGTCACTGTAAGGACAATGAAAGAAATCAACGAATGCAAAGAGTCACAAATGGCATCCCAGCAACAAGCCGGCAACAACCCAATCAATGAGAACAGCCCAAGACGTCTTGCCGCCGTTTGCTTGAGTTGAATTTGATGAGCAAGGATCGCCCACAGAACAGCAGCCACGTCATTAAGAACTTGAGGTCAGGCGGCTGAACGAAAGCCAGCGACTGCTGGGCGCAATTTGGCGTCCCAATGCGGGGGGGCCAGCAGGGTTCGTAGGAATGATGGGGTCCATGGCTGATAGGAGCCACGCACATGTAGGAGCCAACCAGGGCTGGTAGGACGGATGCGTGCTGATAGAAACCAGCACAAGGCACCCATGGTTGATGGCTCAAGTTGATGGGATGATGGGATGAATCTTGCTTGGAACCATGGGGGCTGATAGGAAACATGTGGATTGAAAGGCTGACAGACCGCAGCTGGAAGAAAGGCATGCAAAAAAGACCAAAAAAAAACATGTGAAACACATGTGGGGCACCTCCTGCATCTATAGCTGGCATGCTTATTTGTTCCCTCCCATCCTTGCCAGCATTCTATCTGTGGCAATCTTATCCGGCAAACTGGTCATATCGTCTGGCATTCCAACTGGCATATGTTTAACGTTCCTGTCTGGCAAGGTTTATGCCGCGTCAGCCGGAGGGAAGTCACTTTAACCCATGGCAAAGCGATCTGGTGCACCTGTTTTGCATTTTTGGGGGGCACGCACAAAACACCGATCAACAATGATCAACAAATTGTCTCATGTTTGATGGGCACACACAGAAAAATCTCAGTGGCACAGCACATGGCAAGGGTTTATTCTTCGTTTCAGACTCGGAGCGAAGCGCTGTGTGAAACGTTGATCATCCTCATTCTGTGATTTTTAAGTGCCCCATTTTGATCACTTTCATTTGTGATCTTTAGCTCGCTCTTGGTCAAGTCCCCTGCCACCTCTTCCAAAAAAACGGCTGGGCGATCGGCCCTGACGCAATACGTTGCATCAACACGCATTGATTTGCTTTGAGCGCTCTCTTTGGTCGAGCTCTGCTTGGGCGTTTCGCTCTGGAGGGCGCTTGCTTTCTCTGGCCGGCTTTCAGCAGGGAGTGCTGGGTTTGGTTTCCGTGAGTTCGATATGCAGGCGGCTATATTTACACTATGGCATGTCCTTTTAGGGCTGGTACATGCAGTCCAGGCTTCCACCCTGCCACTCCTTCCCACACTTCACAAAAGTTTCACACCGGCCAAAAACCAAAGCTGCAAAACGATCCGGAACACAGCGCGCCCGCGCGCGCGCGCCAAGAAAGTGTTGGACAACAAGGATCAACAACATCACAACGCAAGATCAAAACTGTAAAGCGCATTCCGGACACTGTGCGCATGCAAACATGATATGACTTCCTTTCAACTGACTCGACTTAAACCCTACCGCTAGTTGCTGGCATATGTTCTGCTTTTTTGACCGCCGGCATAACTTGTCATTTTTGTCTGGCTTTCTCGATGGTGCGCAGGTCCGTGCGTGCCCAAATAGTTTTTTTTAATGATGTTTTTTCTACCAACCAACTACCAAACCTGCCCAGAATGGACAATGGGATTCGCTCGGCATCTCTCCCGGCTCTCCCTTTGCAACATGTTCATTTCTTCTCATTTGCATTCATTTGCTAATTACTGGCTTTCATGGCTCTGATCTCACTTCAAGAGTGTTGGAATCAGGTTTGGGTTCACTTTTGGTCCCTGCTACCTTCTAATGGCCAACCAGGAAGTCTAAGTGGTCTACATCACTGACATCACATTTCTGATGGCATCGCGTTCTTTCTTTCACACGGTCTTGACGCCAAGGGACTTGATTTGGGCCTGAAACTGCGGAACGAGAACCCTTCTGCTCATTGGGGTGGCTGGCCAGATTGTTTCAGTGACACAGAAGGGTGTCGCACAGACCTTCTGATGGCGACCGATGCCGTGGCAAAAAGGCCAGCGCGCATGGCAAATGACAGGGTTGGGTGCAACTTGCACAAGCCAGTTGGGTTACTGGTGGTGGGTTTAGGACTCAAACTGCTTGGCGTTCGCGGCGTTCGCGGTCTTGGCAGACTCGGGACTTCGCTGTGTGGGCGTTCGGCACCGGCGGAGTTCGCTGGGATCGGCGCGGCAGGCGGCATGAGCTCTCCGAGAAGCCGCGGCCACTTCAATGGCTTGAAATCCTAAAGAACGCTTATACCAAGAATGTGCTTTCGGCGCTTTCGAACGGCCGAGACGCTTGACGACTGAGCGAGCGCGTGGCGCTGAGCTGGGTTGCTTGCCACCAACAGCAAAAGGGGATGACAGGGGCTGGTCTCCCACATCAAGTTGGCGCTGACATGTGCTGCAAGGGTTTGGCCACATTGCTGCAAACACTCCATGGGACGGACTGGCATCTTTGCCGACCCATTGGACGCGCGCCGCGTCATCGTTTGTTCAGCTCGCAGGACTGCGTAGAGACTAGAGTGCTTACATTCCTCACCGGCACCAGAATTTACAGCATTTGATAAGCAAAAATGATGATGGATGCAAGGACAAATAATAACAAAAGGAACAGCATCAGCACAATTGAACACATCAATGAAAGGGCCAACAGATTAGAAACAAGTGGAGAAATGTAGCGACGATTGAAGCAAGGTGACATTGAGAATTCAGAAGAAGTAGCGGTGTAGAATGAGCTCATAACAGGCAAACACGTAGTAGTGGAGAACTGAGGCAAACTAACGCAGAAAAGCAAACAAAGCCAAGCAAGAAAGTGAAGAACATCACACAGTATACATCAAAGCAACCAAGTTTGCTAACGACTTCCCAAAAGGACATGAACAAACATGCATGGGCAAATGTGCGAATTCATCCATATCATGCATCTCCAACCGCCGCAGCTTTCTTCACACGGCAACGCAACTGCACTCGGGGGGAAGCGACCTCCAGGCGCCCGGGGACAAATGCACAGGCGAAGGAGGCGGGTCCGCGGTCGAGTCGGACTGGGAGTTGACCCACCCGTTGACAACCAGTTCCATCAATGTCCTGCTTGTACGAGTAGTTCTTTTGTTGAAATTGCCTTGGATGTTGTACTCCTCCCCATTCGATCACGCTTGAGCCTGTGTGATAGTTTTTGTAGCTCTCAAGGCTCTAAATTGTGGTGTAGCATCACCCAAAGCTTCTCTGTTCACGGTCAATTCCTGTCGTGTCTGCCGTGTTTGACAGGCGTGGAGCGGGAACCGTTCGACCAACGGCGAGCGCGGCCGGTCTGGCAGAGCACCGGTGCGCCGCGAGGGGGTCACCAAGACAAGTGCTTGGACAATTGCAGTTCCAGATGGCTTGTCACTGCGGCGGAAAACGGACAGCGATTCACTATTCACCTTCTCACTTTTCACACAGCTTTTCAGCCCAATTTGGGCAGTCTACCGCTGCCAAGTCACCTCTAGATCACTCAGGTCAGGAAATCGCGGGAAGACTTTGCCCGGCCTGGCACACGCGCGCTGTGAAAACTACAGATTCTTGGCCATGGATTAAAACAGGATACCCTTTGACTGGTAAAAGGACAATTCGGACACATAAATTAGAATGGGCGGACCGTATTGAGAAAAAACCAAGCAATCTGAATCTGAAACATCTTTTTGACTCTTGGACTGAGGAAAAAAGGTGAGAGAAAGAAACACAGGAATGAATCAAAGCAACAAAGCACATTGGGAATGAAAGGACAAATCAACAGGTTGAAAAGGGACCAGCGTCTGGTTCGTCCTGTCATGTCCGTTCCTTCAGCGAAATCTTCCCCCGTTGCATTTGCCTTGCAGTAAACATACATAGACATTTGCTACAGCGGTTTCAGAGATTCGACGGCACAAAGCCCGCCTGATGTCCTTTTGCCTGGGGGTCTGTTTCTCTACGTACCAAACTTGGGGGCCCTTGTGCCATCTACGTCTGAAACCACTCACTCCAACTCTCAGCCCATTCTCTTCCCGCACCGAGATCGATTCTCGGTCGGGGCACCGGTCGGTGGTTCCCACCGATCAGTCCAGCTCATCCGAGAACAGAACCGGTGGAATGAACGCGGTTTTTTGTCCTCGGCTTCCTTAGCCTAACTCGCATACTGCTGTGGATCAATGAGAAGGTTGTTGTTCAACTCTTGAGTGCCTTTAATCAGAGATTCCAGTCCATCCTGTCCAACCACCCCAGTCCAAAACCAGTCGTATGCCGTCACAGGCCAGCGAGACAAAACCTCTGGACAGAGCAGGTGGGTGTCCTGACAGCAATTGTCTGCCCACATGTTGCAGTCGGGTGAATAGAAGAGAATAATGTAACAAACACAGAAAGAACATCATAAGAGAAACGGTGGGCAAAAACACCACCAGGGTTCAACCCAATAAGCTGAGTGTTTGCTTGTTCGCATGTACAGGGTCACTCTTCATAAGGACTGCGACCAATCCCTGTCCCTTTTGGTTCTCGTTTTGCGTGTTCCACGCAAACCACACAATGCGCCTTGTCTGCTCAGAAACCACTCTGTGCAGTGGTGAGGGCCCACCATTCTACGGCAACCGTATTGCATCAACATGCATCAACTCTCATCCGTAACATGTCGTAGTTACATCATGTCTATTCTGGTTCTACTCCTTGGCTTAGACTACCTCTGAGGACCATGGGGATCAGTGAGCAGCTCCTCTGGATGCCAAATGCTCCAACGCTTTCGGCCTCAATGACAGGCGGTTTGAATGGATGGTAGTCCTTGAGATTGGATTTGAACCAGAAATATAAACCATTACTATCATTTACTATCCATAACTCCTGACAGATCCAAACTGGGATGCTACGAGACCATTTGTCAGGATTATCCGTTCGGACCGCGTGACGCATGCTCTTTGAGGATTCCCAGAACATGTATGAACATGTACTTATCTGCAGATACCATACGGATGGTCATGATGGATGTCATCTGCTAATTGCTACTACTTTGCCCATCTCACAAAATGGTCATCTGCTACTGCCATTGCTGCATCCTGTTTTTGTGCCGCAAATGTCAGACTTAGTTAGCTTCCTCACTCGAGTATCCCCAGGACCCATTCTCCCACCAATAAAAACTGCAGAACCCGTTATGGCGGCCCGGATAACTTATTTTAGCTTGTGTTGTTCTTCGTAAACCATATTTCAAGTGGTGTTCTTGGGATTTGTTTTCTTTTTTTGGGGGCTGGGATGTCTTTTTGTTTGTTCATGTTACAAGTCTAAGCCGCTACTTGTACGTAGCATAGAGACCCTTCTGTTAACAGAAGACCCTTCTGTTTGACCGTTGTTGTTGCCACTAGTATTGTTGATACAAAATTAAATGATACAAAATGATATGAGTGGAACAATATAGGCTGTGTATGAGTATACAGTTCAACAAATATACTTTTTGGATTGGAGCTTGCTTCCATCCAAGGTATCGCTGGTTCCCAAGCGACCACCAAAAGAGACACACTCGACCCAAATTCCTTCTTGAGGTCAGGAGGGGGATCGCAGGGGATCGCTGTTCATTACAACCATCAATACGTCTGGATGGTCCATGGAACCTCGACGGCCATGGAACGACTCTCTGTCCGAAAACGATCTCGTCGCGCTTGCATTTAAAAAAGTAACCTTCGTTCGGAACTGCTGTATAAACACTCCCGGACCTTCGTATGCATCACATGGGCTCGTATGCATGGGTTGCCCCGGACCCTTCGTAAAGGAAAGTGGTCTTCCACCATGATCATGCCATCCACTTCATTCCGGTGAGCTATCGAGTGTAGAGGTCGTGCGACTTGGATCGGCGGCTATCGGCGACACTCCGGCTCACCCTCGTGTGCCACCCAATCCTTCCCAAAGGACAACTGAAGCTGATTCAAGCTGTAACTGGAGGTTCCACTTCTGATCCCTCGTAGAAGTCGCCTACCCGAACCGACCCCCCCCAGAGCCGATTTGTTTCGTCAGGCCCAAACGGACCGGCTTCGTTGGCCCGATCGACTGGACCCTTTCGGCGTGCGGCGGCCCGCACGGTTCTCGGAACGCCGCGGAAGGCGCCGGGACGGACGCAGAGACTTTTTGGACCGCGCCAAAAAGCCCAACGAGCGTTTGCTCAGCAGCCTCGGCAGAAGATGACGACCAAAGGGGCCGAGGGTTGGCGGAAAGAAACGGTACTGGGTGGGGAAAGTGTGTGAAAGCGTGGGCAGGATTGCAAGACTGTGATCATGATGAGTCGAGTTGAGTTTTCCACCTGTTACAGGTCCAAACTGTGCAAGTAACAGCCATATGATAATATGTATTTATCATTATTTATCATATTTGCACGATGGCAAAGCCAGCAATGAGGCCAGCAGTGCAGTGCACAGCAATGAGGCTGCACACGGCTGCATAATTCCTGTTCAATATGATCCAAACTCCAAACCTCAAACCTGTTCAGAGTCTTCGACGTAGGGAAGTAGTTAAGGATTCTTATTTACCCGTGCATGGCATTTGGACAAGCTTTGCAATACACACACGACCTGTTTCATATTTGAGTCCTGGTGGGGATGTACCTTTATGAAACCATGAAGTCAATCTGCACCAGTGCATCGATGGCAAATGACTGGGAAGGCTTTTCAAGAGGGGTCTATGTCTTCGGCACCGACTCCAAGAAATGGCCGGTTAGGGACCACCATAGTTTAGTTTCCTATTGTACTTCTGAACTAGACAGAATGGATGTTGGTTCACCCTTGAATCTTTAATCTCGAACTGATAAAACGGAATACTTTACTTCGGGTTTAGTGTAGGTCTATCCTATTCCTACTATCCCTCACAGTGGACGAACCTCAAACAATATGTTGATTAGGAAAAGCAAAAATTAATCCTCATCAGCCACGTTTATAAAAAGTCATCCCAAACCTATCAGGAATCTAGACTTCTGAAGACCTTTGCTAGATGGTTGCAGTCGCCGCTCATTCGCCCGGCGACTTCTCTGGAACAAGTGACATCAGTGGATAAAATCGAACAATGCGGCAACAGCGGGAAGACCAACAAGTACTTGATTTGCAGATAGCAGCGTCTGCAATGCAAACATGTTTTCTGGATAGTGATTGTTTGTCTATTTAGAAATACAAACATACAAATAACATAAAATAACAAGGCTGATAAAAGGCATTCCATGGCTTTGGCTTTCCAGAGGCTTTCCCCTGTTCTCTAAAGGATTCTGATGGTGTCTGAGTCTCATGCTGGCAAAACCCGTCGTTTGGAAACACTCTCAGGCCCAAGCTTTGAAGAATACTACTTCTTCAGCTTCTTGGTGCCTTGGTGCTCGTCGCGGTGTCAGGGACGCGGTACGCCGACAAAAAGCAGTCAGTCGCCACGTACAGCTGCGAGCTTTCTCTCCATGTCAACGACCTATGTCACGCGTCAGTAGTGATTCTCACACATGTAACCATTAATGTAAATCGGTATACCGTATACCACACACAACCACCAAATGCTCATGGTGAACCTGGCCATCATCGGGTTTGATGTCCTCTACACCTCGAGCTGTTCCGGGAACCGTCGATCCCTGGAGGTTCAGCTGTGCTCGGGTGGTGCCCCTAACCTGAGTGTCCACCCAAACAGCCCAATAGAGGGCTCACCGATGGGCCGTCCGAGAAGATGTGATGACCGAAGAATCTCAGATGTGGTAAGCCCAGATGTAACCTATACCTGGAATGGGTAAGCCTCCATATACATGTTGAGCTAACAAATATACAGCCAAGTTGCCTTTCTTGCGCGGAGTTGAAGCAGCTTCTTCCTCCTAGGGCGCCGCTTGAAGAAAACTTCGGTTGGACGACCGAGGTCACCGTGCTTTCGGATTCGTTGGGTCGGTACCGAACGCAGCGAAGTTAGCATCTTCTAGCGTTGAGCAAAGGGGTTGCATTGCCAAGCTGAGGTGCGAATTTGTGCCATAAACATGTCTGTTGTCATATGTTGTCATACAGTGATTCAAGTCTTGTGGCGAAACGATCCAGCCATTGGTATAATATGGTCTAATTACAATACTTGGATTTGCTATGATTTGCTTGAGGAACATGGAAAGGAAACATACCCAGAATGAGATGCAGCCACTGGGAAAATAACACATCATCACTAACATCATCCTAAGCAAAACTAGAGCGTGAGGCCAAACATGGCAATCATCTCACCCAAAGCGTGCAGGCGTCCCAAATATATAATTACGCAATATCCTCCCCCAGCTCGAACAGCACTGGTTGCCGCAAAACAACCCAGCCCCCAGCCGGCCATCGGTTCAACAGAAATTCCTTGGACCCCGCAACCTATGAAGAGGCTCCAGCCAATCGCATTCGGACACTCTTGCTTTGCCCGATCAATTTGGAGTTTTGGACACTAAACATAATCACCAAACACGAATCAAAACACCGTCTGATGTTGTTTTGTTTTAACAAAACATATAATATATAATAATAAATATATATCCTGGACCCTGAACAATTCAATAATTTCTGTACGCTTGGAACTTCTG